TTAATATTAACTAATAGCCCTATTAGAATGCGCAACTGATTATTCAAATACAGGAAGGTATCAAGTTGTCCACTGTCAGTTCAGCTTCTGACCAGTTCTGAAAGAAAAAAAAATAGTGCTGATGCACATAAAGGGGCAGCCACATAGAAATCGCTTAACATTATTCCCAGTGGTGGATGCCTTCCTGAAACTGGAAGGTTCTCACGGTCTTTCATAGGACTGAAGGATTGTGTTGCATTGTATTGTGGTGCGCAGGAATCCTGAACACCAAGCCGTTGAACACAAGCACAGACCGAGCAATTCAAAGTAGCATCAACATGAGGCCCGCCTTCTTTCTCTATTTTTATAGCTCTGAACCAGTTGCACAGCCAAGGGCAGCATCTTGTTGCTCTTAAAGCCTCCTGAAGACATGTGAATAACACTGTACAGAGCATCCTATACTCCAGATTCTGCACCGTGAACACATGCAGCTGAGAATGTGAGCTCAACAAGCAGAGCATGTTCTTCTGTTTCAGGCCTCCAAATAAGTGACCTAATGTTTCAGTTCAGTTTAGCATTTCCTTTAAAAGCCATATTTTCTATACATGCATGCCATTACTTCTTTATCAAAATGGTTCTTCAAACTACTAAAAACATACTGAAAGAGGGAAATAAAAATTAGAGCTAATCTTGCATTAAACTGCTGCCTTTTGGCTTGAGCCTCAGGCTCGAGTTTCATTTACATTTAATTTCTTTTCCAGGATACAGATATGCTTTGGGTTCTCAATAAGCTTATCTCTCTGTCTGTCTGAATGGTTTCCTCATGATTGCAATTGGCAAAGCAACCACAACTGTGTCGCTTCCTGCACCCAGATTGAAATCTCCAGTGACTTCAGGTTTAAGTCAACTGGCCAGTTGTTACTTCATTTCATTACTTTACTGCCCAATAGCTGAAGTTCCCTGGGTGTTTCCTAGGAAGAGGAATGTTAAAATAAACACAAGTATATTTTTCTAGGAAAAACAAAATTTAAAAACAGTTTAAAGATGAACAAATAATTTAGCAGCAGACCAAGTAAACCTGTTAAAAACATCTTAGCTGGGTATCCACATCAAGGCATTTGATAAACCTTAAATGTCTTTAAATGCCTCAACACAGAGAGCTCTCTTATTCTGCCACTGAAAGGATGATAAAATTGGCACCAGGTCAGCCTCAGTGGGAAAAACATTTTACAATGGGGGAGGGGGGTGTCACCACTGGAAAGGCCCTTCCTATTTGTCCCACTGAGCCTCCATTGGAAAAAGGCTTCAGATGCTGATTATGGTTGGGGAAGGCATGCCATCAAATATTGCAGTTTAGGAAAAAAAGGTTCCAATCATGTCATTAAGCAAATGCACCAATTAATTATATATATTTTTACCAATCCTCCTAGGAGACCTACTAGCATATTCGAAAGATTTCTCTTCATGCCTCTATGGAATACATTCACCTCAGCATCACCACAACAATTTAACTTAGATTACTTCCAAATGCCTTACAGATTATTGGTATTTTGAATTAATACATCATTCATCTACAACCCATATGTGAAAGGTGCTGATTGCAACTAATCAGCCTGAATTGTTGGAATCAGTAACAGAAGCACAGTTATTATCTTGTTAAAACAGTGACTGGGGCATTAAATCCCTTAGGAAGAGGTCTTTATGTAATATACTCCTGCTCTTCCTAATCTCAGCTATCAGAGTGATCCTGTCAGTGCCCCTATATTTAACATGAGCACACTCAGTACTGCCCCCAGTTTCAGAAGCTTGGACATAGTTGCTTTCCTGTTACCAGAATTGCTCTGAAGGCCTTCTAGCTGAATAACAGCTTTTCCACATAAGGAATTTATTATGTACTCTCATTCTGCATTCATGATTGTTTATAAGAGTTTTAGGATGACATGACCTTCCATGTTAATTGTTTCTAAACAGCACTTTCCATGAAGATTATTTGCTTGTTTGCTTGTTTAGAGCAGGGAAAATTGAATATTAGTTCTGGCGATGAAAGTAAGTGCAATTTCCTGTTATGTATTTGCTGCTATTCTCTACCACAGTGCCACCTAGAGCTTATATAGCTGAAAATCAGGAAAGGACATGTTCCTGTCTAGTTTTTAGATCTCAGTTCCTCAATGAAACTGAAAGTAGATGCATCAGATTATTAACAGCCTCTTGCAAAAAGTTCAAAGGTGCAGATGATGTCCACAAAATTATTTGCTAGTCAGAACTCATGCATTAATGATACATTAATACTTCTATTAATGCATCCCAAATAGCATTTGCCCTTTTTGTGGCTGCATTGCATTGTTGGCTCATATTTAACCTGTTGTCCACAGTAATTCCAAGGTCTTTTTCAGTTCTGTTGAGCCACCTGTTCCACATCTTGTGTCGATGCATTTGATTTCTTTTTCCTAGATAGAAGACTTGGTACTTGTCCCTGCTGAATCTCATTTTGTTGCTTTCAGCTCAGCATTCAATCTTATCAGGATGGCCCTGGATTGTCATTCTGTCTTTCAGGGCATTTGCTATTCTACTCAGTTTGGTATCATCTGCAGATCTGATTATTGTCCCTGTATTTCCTCATCTATATCATTAATAAGATGATGAAGAGCACTGGGCCTAGGACTGAACCCTGTGGCACCCCATTAGTTACCTTTCTCCAGTTAGAGAAGGTGCCATTGATGAACACTCTTTGTGCCTAATTTAGAAACCAATTTTGGATCCACCTAATAGTTTATCTAGTCCATTTTTTGCTAGTTTGTTTATCAGGGTGTTGTGGGGCACTATGTTTAAAGCTTTGCTAAAGTCGAGGTAGATTTCATCCACAGTGTTTCTGCTGTCCATTTGGAAGGTTTCTCAGTAAAGGAGAGAGAGAGAATTAGTCTGACAAGATTCTTGATACATCCATTTGACTTTTTATTAATCAATGCATTTTCTTTAAGATGCCTGCAGACTGATCTTTTAAATAATAACAGCATAATAACAGCAACAATACAGGACCATGGCAGTGATTCCAGGCCATCTTAGCTTCCCATTAGATCAGATTTAAAAGAAGAGCTGCACCTTTTTTGCTTTTTAGAGGTAATTTTTATATGTATTAATGTTTCAGTAAAACCCGCCTTGGTAGCAACTGAGTGAGATAACCTTCTGAGAATCCAAAAGCCCATCATTTTTTCTTAGAAGCGTCTGTCGTAACACTTTGTACAGTTCAAAGGAACAGCGTGCAGCTTAGCTACAGAGTGGGACAGATTTTCACAAGCTGCCATAAATATGCACAGCACAGAGCTGATCTGTAAGAAAATAAAAGGAAATGGAAGCCAAGTGATACAGCAGGATTCTGCAACACAACACTCAAAGCTCACAGAGAATTCTCTTCCTGGAAAGTGAACAACCCAGAGGCTGAAATATTTGGCTGGCGTGATCAGTCCCATTTGTCAATAGCCAATCAGTAGAAACACAAACTGTGCCTTCTGTAACAGGACATAAACAGCCTAGAGTGAAACTTTCTGTTCAGTCTCTTGCACAGCATATGGCCTGTGTAAATAAGGCTCATCCAAGTCGCGGTGGCTGACAGTTTCTGTGGCTGAAGAAGGAACTGTTGTCCTGGTACATGCATGCACACATGGTTGCGTGCCATTGCAGGGGTGACGTGACAGGCAGCATTTCACTTCCTTTGCATGCGAGAGTGTTTATGGACTTCTCCGGAGCTTGTTTTATTTACAAATATATTGGTAGAGCACATTGGCGGTAAACAGGCAGCTCTTCCAAGGGCAGCAGACAACTGATGCTACATTAAATTCCCTCTCCTTGCCCCGTGTTTCAATCCCAGTTCCCACTGAGAAATGCCACCTCTCTGCCTCCAGTTCAAATGGCAAAACTGCCACTTTTCACACCCTTTCACTATGAATCTTTGCCATCTTGTGTAACCATCAGCTCCCACTACTGGAATTGCAGTCAATCTTCCCTGGTGCTTGGGGTCAACTGTTCTAGGTGATACCAAACATGGTCTGGATGTGACTGTGCTGTCCATCAAGCATCAAGTTCCCTGCTTGGATGTGCTGAGAACCACAACATACCTTCTCAAGAACGTGTAGCAACTTTTCATGCCACACTGATATTTTACACACCGGAACAAAAGGAAGGCATGCATTTCTAATTCCAGAAGTGGAAGGATCTTGCTGGATACTGTGTGCGCAACATTTCCAAAACGAGGGCCATCTGAACAAACACTTGCACTAGAGCTGGGGCCTTTGCTGAGAGACCTTCTCTCTTCTGCTCAGGCTGCAGGGAAAAGAGGGTCACCACATTTTCAATAGACAGAGACTCCTTGTCTTTAGCAGTGGGCAAACAGTTTGACTGATCAGGTGACTGACCAGACTGGACGTTTCTGGGTCCAGTCAGGTGTTTCTAAGCCTGCTTTATGACAATCTCTATGCACTCTACACATACTCAAAGGCACTCTTTCTCTCTCACACACACACTCTATCTTCACATTTTGCAGAAGTAAAGGAAGCACGCAGGGAGACGATTGCCTGGCTCAAATAAACCTGAGACAGAAGAGATCCTTCTCTTCGCAGGGCTATCAAAACACGCAGATGTCCATTCTTTTCTTTGCCTCTAGTCTCTCGAAGATGCGGGGCGGAGAGCGAGGGGGGAACAAAGCCAAAGCAAGACGTGAGCACCGCTTCACGCCCAAGGGCCATCCCTTGCCCCTTCCTCCAGCCCTCAGGATTGCTCGCCCGAGCGCAGAAAGGGTTAAGGGAGCAGCCGAGGGGGGTGCTTTTTGAGGGGGGGTGGGAGGGCTGACGTCGCCGTGCTTCTGGCCGTCCGAGGAGCTTCTTGAAGGTAGTTCCCCCTTCTGAGGATGAGGGGAGCGCGCTGAGGTCTGAAATCTGAGATGCTGCTCAGAAGCACCGCTTGGTGAGGTCCCGTCCAAGCTGCCGCCCGGCGTCCGCCTTCCCTCCTCGAGCGGCCGGGCGCACCCTCTTGCCCTGGCCGGCCTGCGCGACGGCATGGCAGCCGCTGCCTGGACGCACCTGGGGCTCGCCGCCCTCCTGCAGCTCTTTTGCCTGCCCTGCCTGCCGAGAGGTACTGTAAGTAGGCGCCTGGCTGCTCTCCATGCACGCCGAAGGGCACGGAGCGCCTCTGGGATCTGGTGGAGACCGGGAGCGGCGGCGGGTACGGCTTCCTCTGGGGCGGGCGGCGGCGGAGGGCGCGTCTTCCTGGCTTTCTCGCTAGCACCGGTGGGGCAGAGGTTCCTCCAGGACGGCTTTCCAGCCATCTGGAGGAAAACGACCGGAGCGGTGTCGTCTCTTGGCTTGCCACAGCGCTGTAAACACGTCGCCCACCTACTTTTTGCATTCTTTTCCCGGCGCGCTGGATGCTTAAGAAACTGCAAAGCGGGGGGGGGGGGGGGGAGTAGGTGCGGAATGTCATTTTTAAACCTCCGATTTTCCAAGTGTAATTCCTCAGGCTTGCCCAAAGACAGATCCCCACTTCCTCCGGACTGAGTCTAAAGAAAAAAGTTGTAGGGGGAGACCAGGAAAACAAAAAACACATTTGGTTTCTGACCCATGCTTTACTCCTGCCAATGCTCTATGCCTTCAAAGGGGAAAATATTGCTAAAGTCGAATGGGCCTATTTTATAGTAGAGCTATGATTTTTTTAAAAAAGCATTAGCAGGATAAGTCAACATGTGCGTTTTTCTTCTTTGATCTAATGGCAAAGCAGTTCTCCTTCAATATAATTTTGCTGGGACTATCCCAAGGGAGCATTTTCATCTGCAGGAAAAGTTGAGCGAGCTCACAGTTGCATGCTGATTGAAGCCTGCACGTTAGGAGCTGCTTTCCCACTCCCAGAATCCTTTGCACTCCCTCACAGGACGCAGGTCAGACTGTCAGATCAACAATTCAGAACTAAGCAGCACCTGAAAACTGTGGAATCCATGATGTCCCAGGGAAATATGTGGAAATAATATAGAAATAAGGTGTTCTGTGTTATGTATAAGGGGCTCTGTGCTTATAGAAAAAAAGGCCAGCTTTTAAAATAAGACACACAGGCAAAAATCACTGGGTTATTAAAGGAGAGAATGGTAAAAATCACATGTACCAAGTAAACATGGTGGCATTCCAGAAACTGAAGCTCGCACTGTATATAAATAATTCTGTATGGGAGGTTATACAGCAGATTGATGCCCCACTTGAAAGGATTAAAGTCAGACAGGAATGGCTTTCCAGAGCAATTCTGTGCTGGTCAGTTCGCAAACTCAGCAGCTGTGTTTGAGGTAGGGTCCCATTTGTGGTAGGCACGCCAGACAGCCCAGCCCAGGTATTCTCTGAAGCATGAAACTAAATTTGTCTGCAGAAACTAAATAAGGAGCTCCCTCTTAAGGGCTTATTTACCCTGCAGTATATTACACCTCCAGCTTATGCTTCCCTGCCAAAGCAGCAGCACAACAACTGCAATTGTCCACTTGGCCAGCTATTTCAGGAATCATCAAATACCCCACCACCCTCCCAAAACCCTGCCCTGCAAGCCAGAAAAAGGGACGTTGATGAGGACTTTGGTAAAGAAAGGCAATGAGGGGATGTTGAGTAGGCAGGCAGAGAAACAGTAAAACACATGGTGGCACTTAGGACAGTTAAGTAATGGTCTAACTCAGGATTTCCATCTCCTCAGTTTGGTATAATTTTTGTTAGCAAACATGGGTCCCTCTCAAAGCAATCTGAAAGCAGTTCCCAGATGTTTTCAATGTAGACACTGCAGGTCATCTGTGGGCTACATCAGCAGCGCGTTCATGCAGCAAACATGAAGCACAGATAAGCCCTAACATTTTCCACCACAGAGAAAAAAGCACAGATTCCTGGGTAAGAGGGATCTCTCATGGACTACCACTGCATTGCATTCTCAAACAGGAATCTGCACGTATTGCACGAAAGCAGCCTTCCCTTGGCTTAGGCAGGAGATTGCCCATAGCTGCAGTTGCCAAAGAGCGGCAACTCACTCCAGAGCTCCAGCAGCCAAAGTCTTGCCATTGGAGTACCAGCTATGGAGCCAGTTGAGGAAGGATGGTGCCTCCTGGTGTGTTCAGATACCATTGCTTAACTCTTGTTGTACCCCTGTTCCACCAAACTGCTGAAATGGAGAGGCAGGGATGTAGAGAAGGACTATGCAGAAGTAGATCTCTAGATGCTTCGGACTTCAGCTCCCAGCATTCCTGACCACTGGTCATGCCGGCAGGGGCTTCTCAGAGGTGAGATCTCAAACCTCTGGGGACGTATCTTCTGCTCATTGCTGTAGAGAAATGCACTTCTTTGTGTGTGTGTGCATTTAGCACCTGTGTGTCATTGTGGGGGGGGGGTGGACATGAGGGAGTAACCAAGCACAGCAGTCCCAGTGCTGACATTTTCCTGACTTCATTTCCATCATTGTCCTTTTTTGTGTATCTACACTACAAACTTATTTAATAACCATTCCTTTTTCACCAGGGACGTGTAATTCTGGAATGGAGGCAGGGGTGGATAAAAGGAAGATCACCAGATATTTGGGGCTTCATAAGCTGAGCCAGCATGGCCAATGATCAGGGATTATGGGCTTGCACATCTGAGGTGGCTTACAACTGCCTGCTAGAAAGGAGAAACAGGAATGTCCCAACATCAGCACAGACTCCTGTCTTTTTCTCTTTTGGGGGCCCTCTCTTCAGCTCAGGCATGGGAGAGGGATGGAGACAGAAGGCAGAAGAGGATTCAGCCTAGAGGCCAGTTTCTGCATTGCACACAGACCATTTTTTGTGAGAAAGAAACGTCCCCCTTTTGTCATAGTATAGCCTTGAGGTAGGAGGTTGTGGGAGATGCTGTTTGTATTCCCCAACAAAGGAAAAGGATTCACCAGACCAAGGAAGAGATCGAGAGGAAGAAAGGAAGCCTCTTTTGAAAATCTGTGTAGAAGTTTCTCCAGAAAGTCTGGAGAAGCAGGGCCTTCTGAACAGGAAATTTCCCTAAGTGCATTTGAGCCAACTAATGCAAGTCTCTCTGACATGGTGAACGGTACACATTGCAATGCCTCACCTGCAGGATTCCTCTGAAGGCCCAGCAAAAGTACATTTCTTTGTGTTGGAAGGAAGAATAGAGCACTTGATCATTTCTCTCAACATCACCTCATCAAAAAGACATACAGCAAGAGAGAAGAGAACTTGTTCACAAATTAGTTGAGTTTCTTCTTCTACACGCACCCTGTGCTCTTGGTTCTTGTCCCATTGGAGTGCCAAAACCCAGAGAAGTTATGGAGTTCTGGGCCTGTGGCATGGGTTCTTGGTAGCCAGGTCAGGTAATGACAATGCTAGAGGAGGATGAAGGTATGCTGGCATGAGTGCAGCTCTTACAGATGCTCAGAATAGCCCTCAATAGTCCTACCTTTGTTGTTAAACTAATGTCAGCTGATGTTCTTTTTTCCATTTTGGCATCAGGAGGCATGTTTTCCAGAAAGCTGAAAATCATGCTTGGTGGCCTAGTGAAGGCATCACTGCAGCAGGTCAGGCAGAAGGCTGCTTTTGCTGGTTCTTCTTGGCTCAGTAAGTGCAGCCTGCCACAGGAAGACTCCATCAGCCTTTGGATAATGGAGGTGGGAAAGGAGAGACTCAGAGATGTGTGACTCTGGCCATCTGTTGCTGGATGGACACGGGTGGCTTTCTGAGCTGACTTGCTGGCCCTTTTCAGTCATAAGAACATGTGTGGCACAGTGGCAAGAGTGTTGAGCTACGACTGAGGAGATGAAGGCTTGGGTTTCCATGTAGCTATGAAGCTCACTTGGTGACTTTGGGAGAATCAGCATCTCTCAGCCTAACCAACGTCACCGAGTTGTTCTGAGGCTGAAATGACGTTGGTTTGGGTAAGAAGTATGCATGCTGCCACAAACTCTTTGGAAGTATGGTGTGGGAGGACATATAAATATCACTGAGAACTTTTATCCATGTAGAATAAATACACATTCGTGATGGGTGGCATTCTTAACAACTGGCATTCTGTCCTTGACTGTGTGCATTCTTTTTGATGCCTGATGACAGAATGACTGAAAATTATTGTGACACAGCAGCAAGTAACAAATGCAATCAACATGTGTAGTTGTGTAGAATTCAGCCATAGAACCCCAGAATATACATGATACTTTGTGACTTGTCCAACCTTTCAAATCCGTCTCCAAAGATCCAATCCAAGGGTAATACTTGTATTCTTATGATGGAGGGGCAATACCTTCTCTGCTAAGACTTGTCTCTGAACATCATCATCATCATCATCATCAAGTAGCATTTATATCTGAACTTTTTCCTCTTTACATAGCTCCATTTTATCTTACAACAACAGCTTTATGAGGTAGGTTGGGCTGAGAATCTGTGAATGGCCCAAAGTCACCCAGTGAGCTTTATAGGCAAGTGGGGACTGGAACCTGGGTCCCTTAGGCCACCACTTTAACCACCACGCCACATTGGCTCATACGTGGACTTCCAAAGAATAAGACATCTTTGCAAATATTTATGAAATTTTATAAATAAATAAATCCTGGGCAATCCTGGGCACTGGTGGGAATTAGGAACCTATCTAGAGCAGAGTCATGTATAGGAATGAGGAAGATGCAGATTTCTATTTTAGCAGTAGCTGCAGGCTCAATAACATGCTCTTGCAGTCCCGACCAGTTCATATAAGAAAGATTTATTAGAAGGAATCACTTCTTCTGCATGGTGATCCCACCCTTATGTACTCAGTTTGCTTGAGGATTCTTGAAATTTTTTTGAAAGATGATTCATAAGAATACATTCCAAACAAATAGTTTTTTTGCCCTGGGTTGAACATTGTCTGGGTATAGGCAAGTTCTATACAATATTCTGGCCAACCCCACCTCTCCCGGATGAATCACACTTGTGAAGGAGAGGCCAGCAGTGTGATCTTCTGCTAATTCTTCCTAGAGACAATGCCTGGACACTGATTTTTATTTTTTTAAAAAGGGAGTGATATACTGATGATTGAGGAATTACATGATTCACTTTAAATTCCACATATTGGCCATTCCCCAGACTTATGACAAACCTCTAGTGT